CAGCCCCGCCGGAACCTCACAACCCTCGCAGCAACTCTAGCAGCTTTGTATCTTTGTAGTGATGTACTTAGTATCTTTAAGTTGCGCCTTGATACTGTTTCCAAGAACGCCGAGTCAGTAGCTAGATGCATTTTTTTTTTTTTTTTAGTTGTATGTGCAGGAGAGCTCGGCAAAAGAAGTTCTGGTTTGCATACTGTAGATTTTTCTGATGTCAGCAATGTATAGCAGGACAGGGCCTGGACATGTCTATGCACATTTATGCATGAGAATCACTGTGCAGTTTGGGTTTGGGTTCAGATTTACTTCCTGGGTAACTATTGCAAGAGCTTATAAACAAATCTTGATAGTTTTGCTGGTTACACATACATGAACATAGTCACCAAAGCTGTGAGTCTCTGCTGTTTGCTGGTGCCTGCTGTCGCCTGTGTCTCTGTTCCAGTGTGCCACACATCCCTGGTTCAGAAACTGGCATCGGCAGAGGGACAGACAGACCTTCCAGCTGGGTAGAAAGACCAAGCGTTAGGTGCAAGGTACAGCTGTGCACCTACAGCAGCAGCAACAGCATCTTAGAATGTTTAAGCCTGGGAAGTGAGCAGAAGTCCAGCCAAGGAAACAGGAGATGTGTTTTTCTCTCCAAAGTAGACAAGCCACTGGACAATAATTTACAAGAAATAAGTGCAAGGGAGAAGTAGGTGGATGTTGTTGTCTTATTTTTCTGCTTGGACTTAGAATGAGATAATAATTCACTGATGAGATTATTAAGTTTAAATTAAAACGACCCGCAATTTCAAAACTGTTCTAAAACATGAACTGAGAGTGACCAGTCTGTGCTATTCTCATGCAAGCAGCAATCCCTAGAGGATGGTTTTCTTCATTAAGGAATGTCCCTGAACACAGTAAGACTGTACAATAAAAACTAAGTTACATTCAAAACAGAAACCTAAGATGGATCGTTTGGGTTTTTTTCCCCATTTCTGCAGTGATTCTAAGACAAATGTTCTTGGATGTCATGTTCATTTTTTAAAAGTCTACTTCTGCATAGTTGGGTTTTGTAGCCTGCCACCTCCACTTATAAAGTAACTGATTGCTTTAGAATATACTTTATATGCATTTTCAGGAAAGAGAAGATGCAGCCTATGTAGATATTGTTCCCAGCTGAATTACTGTTGTCAGAGAACTAAATGAAGTGTAACTGAAATTGTCTCCTATTACTAAGGTATTGCTGAAATCCTAATGAACCGACCCCACGCGAGAAATTCATTGGGAAAAGTATTTGTAAATGAAGTGAGTATGGGCCTGGCCTGTAAAGCTGTTTGGAATCGTGAGCAATAACTAACTGCAATAAAAGTAATTGTGGGAAATTGACTAAAAAAAAAAATCTACCTCTTGCTGAAGGTCAGTGGGAGACAGCACTGGGGCAAGGCAGGTTGGCCTGGAGAAAAAGAGATTGGGATAGTTACTGCAGTAACTTCAGCTGCAGGCTGGACTGAGGTTTGGGAGTTAAGTTAGCTAACTCGGGTGTAACTCAACATCCTTACTTGTGTAATTACAACAAAAACCTACTCACTGTCACACCTTAGCAGGTAATCTGTTCAAGGATTATACATCCTAGAGAAAAACTCCTCTTCCTGTCCAGGTATGAGCCAGACTAAGGTACAGCAAAGGTTCATCTCTGAGGGGAAGGAAAAAAGGGATGGGGAAACGTCATTCTAAGGCTGGCGTGGAACGATCCTGCTGGTTCCACTTACGTAATTTCCAGGAATTTCCTGGCACCTGCAGGGTAAAAAGAAAACACTTCTATCACAGATTAGGAGCTTGCTATAATTTAGGAATATACATCCATATCCTCAAAGTTTTTCTTCTCCTGTCTGTACTCCCTCCCTCGTAGCTGTTCAGTGCTCTGGAACAGCTCCGCTTCGATGAGAAGGTGCGTGTGGTGGTGTTCAAGAGTGAGGTGAAAGGTGTGTTCTGTGCAGGTGAGTAACAAAGGCTCTGCAAGCCATTCTTAAAAAATGTGATGGCTCTTAGGGCTGGGTGCTGATCAGGTCATGCAGAGAAGCAGTTGGAAATGTGTGCTGAAAGAAAACTTGGCGGGTTTTTGTGTGGCAAGTAACATTCTCTCTTTTGCCTCTCGGCCTCAGTGATGTGTGTGATGGAGTGAGCCATGCAGGCTGTGTGGTGCTGCTATCTCTTTTCCATTTATAACCACCTTCAAGCACAGGTGCCTCTGGTGTTTGAGTCTGTGGTTTCCATTTCTGTGGATTATTGTCCTTACATACAATTGGTACTCCTCTGTGAAGCCTGTTAAAGGACACAGAGGAGCACCTTAGCCACTGCTGCAGCCCAAATGCCCACACACTGACTTCCACTGACCTTATTTAACTGGAGTGCTGTATTTCCAGACTTCTGATAGTGTCTGTCCTCTGAGAGGGACAGGAGGGAACACAGTTCAGGTGTCTTTTCCTGAATTCTAACATTTTTCTCCTCTTTAGGAGCAGACTTAAAGGAACGTGCAAAGATGGATGATGCAGAAGTGGGACAGTTCGTTAGAAGGCTGAGAAATCTCATGGATGAAATAGGTAAAGAATTATCTCAGTTGGAAAATTTATCCTAGACTGCCTGTAGCAAAACATTTAGAGATGCTATAAGAGGGGATAGCCAGAAGGTTATCCATCTAGGAGTAGCTTCCCAAATGGCTCCAGCTTATGCCTGAAGCAAAGATCCAATTAGAATTAAATACCAACTATCCTGCTGCCACTTCAAGAACGAGATGCATTTCAGTACAGCCTTATCCATGACAAAGAGCAGCACACACATGCATGTAATAAATTCCTGCAGTGAGAAAGCATTTGTATACAGTTCTGTGGAATCCCTGAGAGGCAGTGCTGGACCATGTGAGCTGTGTTGGTTGTCCCACTTGCAGTACATGCTCAGAAACGCTCATGGTATGGCCCTGACCTAAGAACATGGATTTGAATCTCTGAATGGATTTGCTAAATGGATTTGTGGAATATCAGCGGGTTGGTTTGTATCTTCAACTCCTCCACCCCCCTTTTATTTTTTTCTTTGCAAAAGGAATATGGACTCCTGCAATTGATTTTCTTCCCCTGTGTGTGAATTATTCTGCTCTCACTAGAGAGAAATAGCAAAATGAAATCTGACTAAACTACCAATCAGAACTGCAGTGAATAACCCACAGGAGCAGTCAGGGAGAGGTGGTTACAGCACACAACTAGCTCACATCTGAAGTCTGCATCCAGCTCCCTGAGCATTTACAAAGGTATCAAGCAGCTAATCTCCAGATACATCAAGTTCCTCAGCTATGAGGTAACAACAGTGTTTACCAAGTTCAGGAGCCTTGGCTAGCAAAAACACCAGAAAAACTGATCCTTGTGCCAGTGACTCAGGGTGTTGTCTTTGCTTTGGCTGTTGAACTGCAACAGCTGGTTGTTCATGTCATAAATCTGTAAGGAGACAATTCATCCAGCTTTGTGTTGCAGTACTTTGCATTCTGTTTTGCATGGAAGCAGCATGTTTTGCTCTCTTCTCACAAAGGGAGAAGTGCAAAAAGACAGTTTCTACAGTTTCAAGACAGTCAGAAAGTTCGTGGCAGAAGAAAATGAGTTCTTGAGCAATTTTGAACTAAAACCTTTAGAATTTAAGGATTTAAATCCCAGAACTGTGTGGAAGAGAACTCCTGGAATGTAACTGTATCATCTGTGTTGTCTTCCCCAGCTGCCCTGCCTGTCCCCACCATCGCTGCGATAGATGGCTATGCCCTGGGCGGTGGACTCGAGCTGGCCTTGGCCTGTGACCTTCGAGTAGCAGGTTTGTGTGGCTCAATACAGGAATCTTCTGGTAATCAGTGACTATCTTTTAAAGAGAACTTACAGATTAACTTACTGGTAAGGGAATCAGAAGCTTCAGAGGAACTTAAAACAGTTCACAAAATGAGTAGGCATTTGTCAGGAACTGTGGTGTTTAGTTCCTGTTGGGTAAGCCGTTTCTGTGCTTGAAAAGTTAAGCCTATTTTTAGGAAAGATTAATATTCCCTTAGAAAACTAATTATTAGTAGAATTAAATAGTTATTGCCATGTAATACTGGATGAGCACTCTGGCTAGATCTAACCTTCCCAATTTAAATCAGTCTGGACTGGAAGACATCCTTCTTCTGTTTCCATGCTTCCATCCATTACACTTCATCAAGTATTGACCCAAGGGTCACTTTTCTAGATAAAATTGCTACATTGGGGTAAGCAGCCATACTACACTTCCCTCTTTGGGCTTGAGGTGGACAGTGATAAAGCACTGTAGTATTCAGTCTTTGTAGCTACCTGAAGAAATGGAGCTGCAGTTCAGTATTGATAGTTTGTAGTTTTATTGATCAGTTAGGTATGGAAAAGGTACAGTTATATAAATAAAAAAAGTAACTAACCCTACATTTATTTTTTAATAGCTTCATCAGCTAAAATGGGCCTTATTGAGACCACAAGAGGACTTCTTCCTGGAGCAGGTAACCTTCATTAAATCTTCAGTCTCACTTTCTTAGCTGTAAAGATTTTTCCACTAGAGCACTTGAAGTGTGCTAACTGTAAATTAGAAGTAGAATCTTACAGTGACACAAGAGATCTATGAATCAAGAGTTCTGTTCCAAGCCCTGTCTTGGACTTGCTGTGAATTTAGGAAAGTCCCTTTACACCTTTTCTTGTTAATCAAAATACTCAAAAGGATGCTGAAGCCTTTCAGATGCTTTGAAAGTGTTGACATATTCACCTATCAGTTATTAAAGAAGCACATGATCCCTTTATTTTTAAAACCTCCTTGTTTTATAAGGAGACAAAGCACTACTGGGGCATTCCTCAGACATGGAAAATGGTGTTCTTGCTGTTGTCCTAAGGTGGAACCCAGCGCCTGCCCAGGTGTGTTGGAATTGGTCTGGCAAAGGAACTCATTTTCACTGGTAGACAGATTGATGGACAACAAGCCTTCTCCATGGGATTAGTAAATCACTCAGTGCCACAAAACAGTGAAGGAGATGCAGCTTACCAGAGAGCATTAACTTTGGCTAAAGAAATCCTTCCTCAGGTAAGTGGTGTTCATGTGTGTGTTCATGTGTTCAAAGAAGGCATTTCTGCTTCCCTTAAGAGAGAGCAAACAAACAACTGAAATTCCTTTCAGTGAAATATCAGAGTCTTGTTTCCTGATAAGTCTCTTGCTTCTCCTTTTTGTGAATGGAGTTTCTGTAGGAGCAAGGGTTAACAAGTAGCTGCTTAACTGACAGGCCAGTTTCACCCCCCAGCTGCAGTCATGCAGGCCACCAGGAAACCTTGCCCTGTGTATATCCCTCAACTGTACATAACACAAGTTAGGCTTTTTAAAAATACTTACTAGCTTACTGCAAATTTCTGTAGACCAAAAGGTTATTCATAGCTAGGATAATGACATAACAGCTCCACTGTTACGAACTGATGTGGCTTTAATTGTTTTTAATTTTTCGTTGTGGGTTTTTGTGTTTTTAATAAAGGCTCCATTTGCTGTGAAAATGGGAAAACTGGCAATAAACAGAGGAATGGAGGTAATCATTTGTTTTTTAAATACTGAGGTGAATGAAGCACATGAGCAGCTCTTAAAAATTACTACAGTTAAAATGTTGTGAACAGATGAGTTATAATCTTTATTTATACAGTGCCTATAAAACTATTCCAGAGGTTTTCAAAATTAAAATTAACATGACAGGATCCTTTTTTGTTCTACAGAGGCTAAAACTAGTTCTGTAATACAGGAGTGAAGGTCATTCACTGTGAGTGAATGTTTATTGATGTCAGAGCTAGGAAGTAGCTGTGAGGGCTCTACTGCAGACAAATCTCACCCCTCCCTCTCATCCCCAGGTTGACATTGCATCAGGGATGGCTATTGAGGGGATGTGTTATGCCCAGGTAAGTTACCTTCAGAATGCATTCCTGAAAGGAACAACTATATACTAATTATAGGATAAGGTTTTCAAGTAGTTTCAGGTTTTTTTAACAAATTAAAAGTGATTTCTCCTGTAGTTAATCTGACAAGTTCTGAGACCATGCCCCTTTCTCAGCTAATGGAACAATACACTGTATTAGAATATTATAATATAATGTGACTCTTACTTTATTTTAAGGTGATAAAGTATTACATTTATAAAAACCTCTTTTCCTATATAGTTCTATGGTCTTTGTCTTCAATGCTTTGCTTGTGACTTACACTACAACCCAGTCTGTATTTTCCTAGCTGCAAAAGGTTTGAAGATGGGACTTATCATTGAAAGAAACGCAATCTTAGACCACTACTTCCAAATTAGCCAGGACTTAAAAACACATCAGACTTGTCCATGGAAAAGCATACCATTTTATTTTCTTTTCCTGTAGAATATTCCCACCAAAGACCGTCAGGAAGGGATGGCTGCCTTCAGGGAGAAACGACCCCCTCGCTTTATCGGCAAATAATGCTTCCTCGCTTCCCCCTGAGCTTTGGGGGATAAAGTAGGGCTGAAGAGGACTCACTGATTTCTTGAGATTGTTTTTATGACACCATTCTGTGCACTTAACTCCTTGCCTTGGACTGCATTTCTGAATACTCGACTGGATCATTTTTCTGTATGACTTTCCAAATAAAGTTTACCTTTGTAGAGCTGATCTTTAAAGCACATACAGCTTAAGTCAGTGGTTATGGCTCTCACACAGATGTCAAGTAAGGAGAAGCTTTAGCTCACCGTAAGAAAATTTAAAAGACAAAACCAGAAAGCTTACTGTACCTAAGCACTGTTAGGAAAAACAAACACTGAAGAGAAAGTCAACCTACAAATATCTATCAGTGCTCTTCCAGCTACTCTGGCAGAACAAGCAGCACCAACACAGAGCAATGGTCCTTCATCCCAGACCTGCTGAGCAGTGCAACACACCAACTGCCACACTGCAGCCAGCTGAACTTACCTCTCTGGTACCAGTGCTTGAGAACACAGAGCCTGTTGTGCATATATATACACACACACACAGACACCGTATCAGTCTATGCCAGAGACCTTCGAACACATCACCTCTCTCTCATCGCCTCTTTTCCACTGTTGTCTGACTGGAAGTTGAAGTTACTTTCTCCCTCTGCTTTGAGGTTCTCCAGCACTAAAACATGTCACACAATTTAGCTCTATGGCTTCTTCCTTCCCTAGACTGGGGCTTTCAAGCAAAAGTGAATTAGGAAGCAAATGTGGGTTTAGTAAATACTTTATAGGTTATCAAAATATCCTTACAAAATGTGGTTTACCACAGTGGAACTGAGTGTCACCTCATGCTGTGATAGCCTCGAAGCAAACCATAGTTTCACTTGTCCCAAGAGTTAACCAAGCAATTCTGTGGGTGAGGTAACCTCACCAAGTTATATACATACAAAATTGCTCTGTAAAGATCTGTGAAGGTAAATTAGTCAGGATCACAAAAGATGGCAAATGGTACAGGTGGACTACCAGAGTTTAAAAGTTGCTTTCAGAATTATTCTACCCTGGCAGAAACTTCTGAAGCTGCACAGGAATGTGAAGACACATACAAGCAAATTTAGTGGATTTATACCTTGTAGGCATTCATACTTTTCAGCTTGAAAGAATTCTGCTCACTGTTTGCCTGAAGCATGTGGGAACAAAACAAAAAGGGTATGGAAAAACACTTAGAAATCTCTGTGCTTGCTGGTTGCAGAACTTCACGAAGTCACATATCTTCCCCACATCACATACATTTTGTGCTACAGGGAGTAGTAGATCTTACTTTTTCCCCCACAATTTTAGTTAAGCTGCATCACTAAGGTCTCCTGTCATTAGGAAAAAACAGTACTGTAAGGAGAGTTGTCATTTTTATTTTAAAATCCTGTAGCAATTTATTTATATTTATTCTATTAACACCAATTTTGACAAGTTTTGTGTTCCGTTTCATGTAACGGAAATTCCACAGAAGTCCCATAGAGACATCTCAAAGGGTGGTGGCTTAAAGCTTGTAGGCTGTTTCTCATTTGTTAACCCACCTTCCTAATTCAAAGCTACAGCCAGATGAATTTCTGTCTGAATTGAGAAAACTGTACATAACCAGATAACCACAGGAAGATGCTGCTAGCCAAATTATACTTTGGTACAAGAAACAATCACACAACACTGATTAAATTATTGGATCAGTACCTTTTGAAGTTGCTGAAACACACCAGAACTAGGTTATTGAAGATTAGAGGTGATGTTTTTATTGAAAGGATGGGAGCTGGAGAAGGAAGGAGTTAAAAGTAGTAAAATACAGTCAGCATGAAGAAGCCACCCCTGCCATCAAGCTACCAAACATAAGTTTTCTTTTTAAATTCAATTACCAATATATTTACAGAAGAGTCTCTGAATATCAATCAGTTGCCATGAAAATATGGAGACAAAAAATAACACCTGAAATTAAAGTGGATTTGAATGGACATGCAGTTTGCTCCCATCACTTGCATTTTATCAGGCATCTGTATATTGTGCAATATGTTTCATTCAACATGTGGTTTGAAACCCATAAGTATCCAAGAAAGAAAGGAGTTATTACAATTAGCATCTTCATGTAAAATTTCACACTCCACAAAACAATGCAATTGACACAGGGCTTACATAGAACATTGGGCAATATTTTGCACTCTGATGACTTGGAAATATAATTCACTGCACAATACCGACAGAGTATTTACAGAAAATGATCATTAGTCTCTTATAAATAAGGTGACCAAATATCCTGGGACTGCTGTGAATACACACAATCTCCTTCATGAAGAAGTCAAGTCAGTATTTTGCTCTAATGAGCCTTCTCCTTTCCCTATCAGTATTCTAAAAACAAAAGAAAGATATCACACACAACCAAAAGTAGTCACACAACAAAAACCCCTTTTTGTTATCAAGTTTCAAATCTCAAACTTAGCTCATCCTTTTAGTACTGTCTCATTTCAGACCTGTTTCTACTGCTTTACTAGAGTGGGTTTCCCCTTTCCCTGAATGTGATGCTGGTCCCCACCCTGCCAAGAGCAGGGAGGACTCTGGAGAAATGAGCTGCAAAAAGGCAGTGTTCTAGCAGTAAGGAAAACAAAAGGACATGGCTTGCAGGCAAAGGGAAAAGGAAGTTGAAGACCACATTTGTGTCTGGAAGGGTTATGAGACAATGGACATTTTGGTCGCCTTAGTTACAAGTCTCACTGTAACCTGCATGCATGGACTTTTGCTTTAGTCTGTACAAGTGTTGAGTCTCACAACCACACACAGTTCGAGGCAAACACCAAACTGGTGAACAGTGTTATGAAGAGCAATCACAGGGATGAAATCATTTTTTCTCCCAGAAGTCACAAAACAAGATATTCCTTTAAGTCTTTGTTTCAGATGTGCACGTCGATCTGTACAAGTCCCCACTCTTTGCAGCCAGCACTAGCCCCACCAGTATGACCAGCTCAAGCCATGACCCTTTACAAGTTGCATATGCAGTTGCCATTTAAGCTGACACTCAGCAAAGGTTTCCATACGTAGTTCTGGGTACCACAGTTACTGGCAAATCACTTTAATGGTGACCAATATATTACAAGTTACTCCAGCTACACACACATCAGGAAGGATTATTACAGAGACAATAGTTTACACTCCTCTACCTACAGCTTTCAGTTTGGTTTGGTCTGTTGCTGTTTCCTACACGGTGGTGGTCTCCCGTGGCGCATAATGTGCTTTTCTAAACTATCTAGGATGGCAATAGCAATCCTCTGGACATCGGGATCAGTCTGGACGTTTTCCTTGATGTTGTACAAGTGCTGTAAACCTCCTTCTTCAATTAACATGCTGCAGTATCTGGCAGCTGTAACAAGATTATAAAAAGAGAATTGAAAAAAAAAGTTATCTAGGGTAAAGGTAGCAGATACTGTAAACACTGATTCAAATCCACTTTCATCCCCAGGCAGCATTTAGGACACTCCCTAAAGTGTCCACAGAAATGCATTTGTACTTTAACAAGTGACAACACAACAGCAGAGTTGTTTGGACAGGATCCCCATTTTAAGTGGCTCTATTACATATCTGCCTCAGCTGACTGCAAAGTGCCTTGTAATACACATAGCATCACTCCCCCACACCTCCTCTACAGGCATTTCACACAAACCTTGAGAAATGGGAATCAGAAGTACTACAGTGTCTATGAGTACCCCAGTAAAAGTATGACTTTCACCCAAAGTCTCGGTACAAAACAGTTACCAAAAAAATGGTATTAGACATACCACATGATTTGTACAGGTTTGTAGAGTGGATAGAAACTAGTTCCTGCAAAAACAGCTTGCCAAATATTTGGTTTGTGGCTTTTAACTAGTTCTAAGTTGCTATAAAGGCCTTTCCAGGGTTTCTTTCCACTTCCATTATTCACTTCTAAAAGCTGAAAGCACACCTCCTCCATCAGCTCCAGTGTTATTAAGAGCAGGGAAGAGCTATAAAAAGAGCTGCACGGCTAATGTAATGTGCAAGCTTCAGAAGCTGTTATGGAAAGGTCAGGATGACTGTAATGCAATCCACATTGCATTAACCTCAGCTGGGCCCAGTTTCACCATTCATCTCAGTGATGCAACACCAGAGTTGTTTAAATGCTGACGTTAAGCATTTCACTGGGGATCACATTTGCTGCAGTGCTACCAATATTTTAGTTAAGTTAGCTCATGGAGGAGAATAGGATGGTGAGAAACAGCAAAAGGAGAAAAAAAAAAAATCCAGAAAATTCAAACCCATTAATTTCAGACTACTTTCCAGCCTCGTCTATAAGAGGGAAATCAAAACAAAATGCATCCCCTCTCCAGGAGAAGAAGCCTTCTTGTTGCCAGGCAGCAAAAGCTGAAGATTTTCCCCCAAAATAAATCTTCACATTTCAGAATTAAACATATTTTCCCATCAGAGTAGATTATTACATTTGCTACCAAATGTTTGGTTTGTCTGCAACTTAGTCCAGAAGCTTCTGGCACCAACTACCTTCAAAACTAAACTTCAGGAGTTGTGTCTTGATCCTAAATCAGGAGTACACCAATACAAACCTCTGTGGCATGCTGACAGCTCAGAGGTTAGGGCAGTACAAAATAAACACTAAAAATAACTAGAACAAAACCGGACAATACTAAGTTAACAGGACTGAAGCACAAAGAGGAATAATTACAGGATCTTAATCAAAAACTCTTCTCCAGGGTCTGACCAGTAAAACTACTCCATGTAGAACAGTCCTACTGCAGCATGGAAAGTCCTCCCAGATCTCCAGACAGTACCCTGGGAACAGTGCCTCATTATATTTATCAGCTCTGCTAAGAGCAGCAAACCAGTATTGTATGTGCAGTTATAGACTATGCTGTGTTATTGTTTGGTCCTGCATGGATGTCTTAGCACTGCAGAATGAGGGATAAACAAGCCTAGATATACTGCTGTCAAGAAGATTAAAAACTGGCACAGAAACCACTTTTAGTACTTTAGAGGAAAGCTGCTTTACATACACATTCCTGTCATAAAAATGTATGTCACAAAACCCAAAAAAAGCATTAAAATCCAGGAGGGTTTGTCCATTCATACACTCAGGTATGGTTGGGGGATTTACGTCCTTTCCCAACACTTGTGCCTTTCAGCAAATGCTCTCAAATTATTTTACAACATTGGTGTTCTCAATTTGCAGATGGGAAAGAGGATTAAGACACTGACCTTGATGTCACAGCAAATTACTGCCAAAAGGCGATTAGAGAGGAGGATTACCCAACACTTCTGTTCCCACAGTAAGAGGTTGATGCCTACCACATTGTTCTTCAGTTAAAAGCAATTTGTTCCCCATTATTAAAATTTACATTTCTGAATAAAAACACCTGTGCAAGCCAAAAATGTAGTTAATCTTAACATATCCATATTTTTTAATTAATACTATGCATTTAACAGTAAAATCCCAATAAATAAAAAGGTTATAAAGGAACTTCTACTGCTCTCTTTTTCTGCCCTGTTCGGTCAAGGCCCAAATGTAGTTTCTCCAGAGGATTAGGAGTGAATATCCTAGGAATTCTTATTTTTCCCCACTTCATGCTAGTGAATAATATCTAAGAAATCAGGATTTTAAGGGGAGTGTTATCTTAATACATACGATTTTTGCTGCAGACGTGCTGCATGGCCCACACTGCCCATAACTGGACACCAGGTGTCATGAAACAGCCAAGTAGTGGAAAAAATGGGTTGAAAGACCTAAACCAAAAGGAAACAAAGAGCAAAACTTGCTTTACTGCTCGATACTATTACCCCAGAGGTTGCATGTTGCCTGCTCATTTAGCCACATGCCAACTAGGAGAGACACTGATGAAGATTAAAGGCTCTCCTGCTGCATCCAAAACTCTAAAACAATCACTAGCAAAAATCAGATATAGTGGATATGCTTTTACCATAGCACTTGGATGCCTCCTGCTTCTTAAAAACAGGAGTAAAACCAATGGAAAACACAAGGATTAGACTGACAGCAATTACCTAATTGTACTTTTTGGCCTCAAACTTCTTTACCAAGGATAGACAGTGCTAACCTAGTGCAACCAATATAACCTTCCTGGTTAATCTTTGGGTCTAAGTCTTTTAGGCATGCAGCTGAACACCTGGAACAGAAAAGCAGCAGAACACGAATTTTTCTTTTATACAGAAATCCCTAACCTTCTCTGGTCACCAAGGGAAAATTAACCCACTGCACATTTTTAGCCGATAGGTGCTTTTGCACTGGATGAAACCACGTCTGGCTAGCAGCTCTCTCTGCTTTGGGAAGAAGTTTTACATCTAGCTGGGTTTATTTTCCAAACAATAGTTACCTGTAAGCCACCATCTCACATTCTGGGGTTGGCCAATTCAAAATGGCAGAATGCTGCAAAATACAGAACCAAGAACACTGACTGTTAAATACAAACACTGAAAAAGATTAAGAGAGTATGATAAAATTCACCATCATTTCTGTACCAGCTGCTCAAGGAGAGATGTCCTCTGGCTGCGACTCAATGTCCATGCCTGCTCTCCTCGAGATATCAAGTGAGCAATAATCCCTGCTGCAAAGTAGCTAACTTCCACTTCCACACTGTGCAATAATTTACTGATGTGGTCTATAAAGTCCTTCCACATTAACTCAGAATGGAGCTCTTTAACTTCAGCTATGTTGTTCTGGAAGGGGGAAAAAAAAGAAGAAATATCAACAGAAGGAACATGGTATAAGGGAGCTAAACATGAACTACACTGTGTAAGTAAACACATATGAACACCCAGATGAGGTCTGCATACATCCAGGTGACCACGGGATTGCTTTTCAAAACTTTTCCAGCCTAATGCAGGAATTTGCCTTAAAACAAAGAAGTTTTCTCCTAAGTAATTTTAGGCCATTAACATGCAGATTACACTAAATTAAAGGCTGGTTTTAACATTCTCAAACAACTTTAGTAAACTTCAGCAGTGCACAGTGCTGAATTCCATTGACTCTCCACCTAGTTTTTGCACTCAGGTGAAGCCTCACTCACTGTCCTTTCTTAAAAGCTCTTTTCATTTACTGTAACCATCAATTCCAACATAACTTTTGAAGACATCATAAAGCAGTCCAAAAACATGTCAATTGTGAATAATACACACTATAAAGAACAACAATAACATCAGAATTTTTCAGGTTAACACAGGGTAAAATAAAACCCTTTCAAAACCAAATCTTAAAAGTATGTATTTCAGACTTCTTTTTTCATCTCACCAGAAGTCCAAGAACTTTCTGTTGGATGGATGATTCAGATGGAAAAGACTGTGGAGAAAAGAAACCAACAGTAGGTAACCATTTATGCTTATTATTGAAACAATGTTAATTATAAACCCGTGTTGATAATCCACCACCAAAACTGCACTCCTCACCTCTAAGACTCTCATGAAGAGTTCTAGCCCTTGATTTTCAATGAAGTGCCGACACGTTGTTGGAGATTCATCAGTGAGGTTCCAAAGTGCACTCAGTGTGAACTTGAGGGTGGTATCTACAAGATTCTGATTTGTTTTCTGTTTAACTATTTGTAAAAGTTGCTGGGGGAATAAAACCGACAAAAAAATCCCAGTTATGACTGCATATCCAAATATATATTAGCTCCTCTGCTTCTTCCTGCACCAAGTGGGGTAATGCATAACTGTTATTTATATGCAGAGCGAAGATCTACATGTTTAGAGTCAAACTGCACAAAATACAACAGGTACTAAACCTTTCACCTCCCCTTTGAACGTGGCTGTCTGCTAGAGGAATGCCTTTGTTTTCATGGTAATTACACGTGTGGTACCACTCCGGATGGCACAAAGTCAGCCACAGAACTCTGGACCCCACGTGAACACTGACAGCACTAAGCATGTACTTCATGTAGTCTCTCTTCGAGCATATTTCATCTTATACAATGAATTTCAAATCAAGAGATGTCTTGCTGGTTTACTCTGTATTAATTGCATTGAGTTTTTCCACTTCAGCTTCTTTTCATCTGTGCTAATATATCTCATTGCCACTGGCTCTGCTATTACCTCTAATAACATCTCTAGGTTTTTCCCTTCCAAAGAACTTTCACATGAGCACAGGTTAATCTGTTCTTAGAATTCTGTCTCCTTGTGTTTACTTTGGATCTGCAGGAACACTGTTAGCATGAACACCTAGAGGGGATGTGATGTCAGGAAAGTATCTGACTTACCCTAACAATGAAAAGTTCTGCACCAAGTTGAGCAGTTTGCTCTGTTGAAAGCTGTAAGCAAACAAAACCATATCAACAATTTTTTAGACTTTAGAAACATTATCCTGTCATCTCAAAGCTTAAATTTCATACCTTTGCAGCCAGAATGGATATTATGGCTACAGCCATCCTTTGCATGTTTTGATCTTCGTGATTACACAGCCACTGCATAACAAGTTTGGCTGCTTCAAACCTGGAAGGTAAAAATCCATTTCATTTTCAGAAGTCTCGTAAGTCTCAGTAAAAGAAAGATGTACACAGACAACACATCAGATACAAATGCACACAAGGCAACAGAAACTGGTAGTTGTAAGTCCCACACTAAAAAAAAGTAGAAATACACATTGGAATTGCAGGTATTGCATGAGCCTCAGTCAGCTTTGACTTGTTTGCTCAGGGTATCTGACTTCTAATAATATATCAAAGGGCACAGGAATTGCTTCCAAAGGAGGAAGAAAAACTTGGCACAATCTCCTGAAACATCAGACCAACAATACTTCAAAGCATTTGGACAAAAAAATTTAAGTAGAGAAATGTCTGCAAAAAGCAATGCCATAGATCTCCAGAGAAATCCTGAGTTCTGTTGCATGCCATTAGTGAGAGACCCACACATGTGAAGTGAAAACTACCTGTACACCAAAGGAATTTTTCAGACCTATACTCAATGGTATATATTTGGGTCAATAGGCCCAAAATAATACAGGCCAGGTAAATTCAGCACACTGGAATGATTTAAACTGAGCAAAACTGGGACCAGAGACAAAGCTTCTAAAGGAACAAAGGAAAATATTCTGCAATGCTACAACTCATTTTAACTGACACATAAAACTTGCCTGTTAAATGGAACATCCTGAAGGATTCTGTCACTGCATAGTGAAAGAAGGCAATTCTTCTGCAGCTATGAGAAATGAAATAGAATTACTTCACCAGTAAACATACACATTTCAGAACAATTTCTTGCAATGAAACATTAAACGTATTTCTGTGACGTCATGAGGTGTGGAGAAACCTTTTGTAAGACCCATAAGACAGGGAATCCTACAGAAAACAAAGAAATCTTGTGTTTTACCTGTTGGTGGTTGGGGAAGTGCTCCATGGCCTTCAGGAGCAGGTGGGTGACATCGGCCAGCAGCCGCACAGGCATCCCTGCAGCCAAGTCTTGCTTGGTCAGGTTAAAGACACAAGCACTCGCTGCCAACTGCACAGGCAAGTTCAGAGGGTGATTTCTCATTCCAATCACCACAAGCTGAAATACAAGAGTTTTGCCCACGTTAGTTACCGACACATTCGCACACACGCCCCAAGAGCAATTCGCTGCTGCTCGAGGCCACAGCAATGACTCACAGCACCCAAATTCTGCCTCCCTTCTACTTAAGTGAGAAACCCATCTGGTGTGATTTGAGTTCTCAGGAGGAACACTTCCTTCTGCTCAGTGATTCAAAGCTGACAACTTGTACTGCTCCAAGTCCTTTCACACAGCTTGCAGCACCCTCTCAAAGGAGAGGCTGCATGGAACACAAGAAATTCCTAGAAAGATCCAGGATTTGCTTTACACACTGGGATAAAATCACCAAACCCTTTCAGAGGTGAATGAGGTAGGACAGAGCTTCTGCAGTGCAATGCTAATGATGTAGGGGCTTGGTGTTTGGTGATTAGCCATTTCAAATCACATCCTAAGCTGCAGGTCAAGACAGATTTTTTGCAGCTTCTTCCTGAATTATGTTTTTGGCTATGTATGCTGATTGTAATCTCACCTAAGAAAATATTTTTCTTCATGATTATTGATTGACAAAGTGTTTTTGATATCAAAACCAACAAATTCAATGTCACTTGTTCAATGTCAAAAAGGATAGGAAAACCAAAACTCGTATGTCCTACTGAAGCCTCTCTTTATGATCACAGCAGCACTTACACCATCTCTGGTGTTCTAGACATGGAAAGCCAATGCCTAGAATGGATTTCTGAGGAAGTTTCTAGGCTTCAAGTCAGAGCCCAATATAGAACACTAACGATACCTGTTCACTTGGTATCACACTGAAGGTCATGGTAGCAAAAATGCTACTGAATTCCTTCCTCATTATTACTGTTTGTAAGCAGCAGCAGAAAGCACTGTTGTACCTGGTTAACAAGACTGGACAGACCTTTGACTTGAGGCAGTACAGATATGCCCTAATAGCAGAACTCAGCAGCTGAAGAAAATTTCGTATCATATTCGAAGTTGTGTGGAAAAATTACTTTAGGTGCTACTAAATTTAGATACCATTAGTCCAGATCAATTTTACCTAACACAAACCACTACAGGGCACCTTCTACACCACTATTGTTTAAATAGATCTTAATTTTTATCTAATATTACAAGTTTAATCCTAAAAAACACAGCCAAAAAATGTAAAAGCTTATAAAATAATTTATACCAGAGGTTTGGGGCTGAGCTCAGCTTAAGGAACAATACATGACAATCACCAAAACTATATTTATTATTCTACCTTTAAAATTTCAGGCTTTGTTTTTTCCATCACGTGTGTCAGGCTGAATAAGTGGAAGAGTGCTTCTCTCACAAAGAAGGCTCGTTCACTGTAACGCTTCAGTGCTTCAGCGATCTGAGTCTCATTTGCTTCTCCTGACACCTGTGAACACAGAAATCATCTTTAGCTCAAGATGTCATCATTTCACTTTGAAGATGTTGCTCTCAAAAGGTGCAAAGCTGCAGTGCCAAAGGTGGTGATATTGTTGGCCAAACAATTGCTTTATGTGGCCATAGTAATCCAGACACACACAACCTTCAAACGTTCTCCGTACAGAAGAATCCACGCTGTAAGCCAAAGTTAGGCTTCAGTCATGTCTCTGAGCAGAGCTGGATGAAACCACCAAGTAAAAGCAGCACTTCATAACTAACAGAAGCTGCTTATGATGCACTGAACACCTATTTGTAACTGAATGCTCTGTCCAATGCAGCTGATAAACTGATGTTTTAAGCTGCTGGTTTTTGGCTCTGGGTTCCAGCTCCAGCAATAAAAATAACATTTCCATTCTCTGTCCACATCAGGTTTCCTAGAAACTATACCTGTAGCAAAGGCTTCCCAGCAGCATATTGAAAACTAACTCACAGGGATATATTACAGCCTTGAGAGAACTGAGAGCATCTTGGATTTGGCTTTACATTCTTTACTGATGAGAACAGGGCAATCATATTTACTGACATGTTTTGCAGCCAGTTACACCCTACATGAAGAATTTCCATTTGGCTTCACATTCTCAGCTATCACATCTGCCTAGTGTTCATGATCAAACTTCACAGGACTGCTGTAAAGACAGTAATATTTTTACCTCTGCTGTTTCCATGAGTGCCGTGTCCTGTATATTCTTTAGCAGTATCTAGACTAAGCATTTGAATATTTCAGTATAATTACTAATGAATTTGGGTCACAAAAAAAACCCCAAACAATCACAGCCTTCAGTCTCTTTTATTTTAAGGCACAGCTGTCAAGAAAAGAAATGTAAACTACTTTTTTCTAACTACACTGCTACAAGTCCATTATGATTTCCACATTTCTAGAACCTTCTTCCTTCCTGCCTGTTCATAGCACAGACAAATCTATGGGGTGTGTATTCTAAATAGCAAGGAGAAACACAAGGTACATCATCACTCCAAATGGGAACTTGTTTTCTCCAGTGCATTTCAACATTCATACACACATCAGCAGGATGTATTCAAGACACTTGGCAATGGTCAAAAGTTTCAGGGGAAAAAATAATTGTGTAGCTGTGTCATTTCACTTACCTAGAGCTAGACCATTCTGAATTTTAAAACTGAAGTGCAAAACTCAGTTTGCACAAGAGACAGGCTAAACTATAGACACATTACACACTCTTCCTTGTTTCCTCTGCAGTTTCCATCACCCTCGTGGCACAACAGAAAACACAGCTCAGAAGTGAAAGATGATATACCACTGACATGTCTAAAACATATTTCTCCTCTGATTCTGATCCCTTCACAGCTGGGACAGGAGAGGCTCATTCTCCACAAAGTGCATTCATATTCTAAAGAACAGGGAATGATATCCTGTTTCCTGGCACTAAAAGATGAATAAATGCAATTCAGCAAACATCTTCTCATCCTAAGGGGCTAAGGAATTTAGGGTTTGTTTGAGAGGAGGAAGTTTTTCATCCTAAGTAATTGCTTCTTACATGTTCATCACCAAAAGACCTTCCAAGGCAGGTTGAACTACTGCAATAGGAAATAGCAGTCGTGATGGAGTATAACAGCAGCTCAGTTATTCAGTCTTATTCTATCTGTTGTGCTAAATCACAAATTGCTCAAAGCTCATGCAAATTATACCTCCACCTCTTACACACTGCTGCCTTATGCTAAATGCTGTGCTGGAATCCAAAGAATATTATTCCACTAAATTACTTCAGACTAGACAAAGTTCAGCTCTCTTAGATATGTTAAATCAGGATCTAAGGTTCACTGAAAAGGCACGGAAAACAGATGCTTCTTACAACAGCATCATGCAAATTTAGCAGTTTGTGTCAGAACGAAGAAGGAATTTGACACAAAGTCAGCAGCTACAATTAACAGTTAAAAACTGAACCTACAGCCTCCTTCTGAAACACCCACACATATTTGTTATAAACGATTAGTTCTGTTTCTGCTGCACAGGATAATTTTCCAGAGAAATTCATTCCCCCACTTAACCTTTAGGCTTCCTTCTCCTGTGAGGAACTCGGAGTAGCCTGCGTCCGTAGCCAGCAGCCCCACGAACTGCATCGTGGGCCGCTGCTGAATAAACGCTTCCACAGCTTTATCTGTAACGTGTTTTCTTCCAGAAATGTCCAAAGACACAAGGTTAGGTAAGATGTCCTTCTGTTCCAGCAAACGAAGAGCTATGTCCGATGTGAACTGCTTGTCATCCGAAATGTCCAGGTGATTCAGGTACTTCAGTTCTCTGATAACATCCAGAATCTGCGTCGTAGTCATTTTCAAGCATTTCAGGTGGTGCATGGTCAAAGACTTGAGTCGGTCTTTGCAGGTGAGGAGTGCTGTTATGTCAGTGACAGAGGTGTTGGATATATCCAGACTTTCCAGCCTAGGAAGTGAAGCAACATCTGCCAAGTCCTCGTTATAGAACAGCACATTGGTGATGCTCAAGGCGCGAAGCCCAGACAGCTGACTGAAACACCTCTCATACGGGTCTTCTAAGGAAAGAGTTAGTGAGTTCAGCACGAGGCATTGCAGGTTCTGTTGGATCCATTTATTGCTGCCAAGTCCACTTATAATGTCTGTGATTGTTATATCTGCATTGACCCCAGTAGCATCAAGTTCCACCAGCTTGTGATGGCAGAATGCTTTCCGGAACGCCACGGCCGAGATTTTGGCTTTCCGGATACAAGCTCGTTTCAAACGCATCTGGTTGCCTCGGAAGATGCCCACGGTTCCATCATTCAGGAGCCCTGTTGGAAAACAGCATTAGTGTCTGGTTCCAGCATTGCAGAACAACACTTTTAAGGACCGAAAGGTACAAAGTGTTAACAAAGAAAATTAATGACCAAGTGGTTTGCTTTGGCTCGTAATTGCCACTGGTCAAAAAATCTTGTTTCAGAGACTCCACTTTTAAGATTTTACTTTCTTTTAAGGTCTCACTTTTGGAAAATTTCATGTTTAAGAATAGGACAGACAAATTAAGAAGCAGTATATCAAAACTACTTGTTTGGTTCAGAACATGGAACATGCAGTAAATGAAATAGGATATGATCCGAACCCAATCAGGTTGCTGCCTGCATGGTCGGGATTTTCTGACTGAAGTGGATAAAAGTATGCTAAAAACAGTATTTCATAATTTCTGAGTGTAATTCTCCCCTGGCCACAGCTCCATTAACCTCAAGATTGCACCATCAATCCATGACCTCTGCTGATCTTGCTTTAACTGAATCACATTTGATTGAATTCATAAGTAGGATCAATACACTAAATTAAGCTAATTAAGTTCTATGTATCCCTCAAGAAGAAGGTAGGAGTGTTGCTCAGAAACAAGCTGAATGTGAGAAAAAAACCTAAGAAGCTATTCAAAGAGGAGAACAAGGAAAGGGTGGGAAGGAGAGAAAGCAATGAAAAAAGAAAATGCACCAATCTTGCTTGAGATTATCATCTTTTTACTCTGTAGCAAGAACAACTGCATAGCCTGTTCTTGCAACACACTGGCAACATCCTAAATGAAATAATACATAGAATCATAGAATTTAGGGGTTGAAGGGTTGGAATGGACCTTACAGATCATCTAGTCCCAGCCCTCCCTGCCATGGGCAGGGTCACCTCCCCACTAGATGAGGTTGTTCAAGGCCTCATCCAGCCTGGTCTTGAACACTGCCAGGGTTGGGGCATCCCTGGGCAACCTGTTCCAATGTGTCACCACCCTTAGAGTAAAAAACTTCTAATATCTAACCTAGACTTTCTCTCCTTCAGTTTGAACCCATTACTCCTTGTCCTACCATTGCAGTTGCTAACAAATAGTCCCTCTCCAGCTCTCTTGTAGCCCCCTGAGTTCTCTGCATGGAATTAGCCAAAACACACTGAATCTACAAATACAAAATCGTTTGGTGATCTGTCAGCATCAGGATTACTGCTTTATGAAATCCATGGGAAGGGCACAGTTGCACAAGGATGCTCAGGAAAGGAGTAGGAAGAACATGTCCTTCCAGTTTTACTCTGCAGGGGTAGAAATGTGAAGACTCCTGGTTTTAATCTCCTATCTTCATGCATACATAACACAGAAAACAAAATGAAACTGCAATATATTTGGATAAAAACATCACTGTCTCCACAGTTTAGGTTTAAGTCATAAGCAAGTGATTGGCTCTGTGACAAAGGCAAACCAATATTAAATCAATATTAAATCATTATTTCTAAAGAGCAACGTTTAAGCATTTCTGACCAGGGAGTCAGGGTATTCCTCTTCGGCTGGAAAAGCAAAAATATGGGGTGAAACATTTGGTACCCAGCAGAAAAATTAAAATAAATAAATAAAATTATAGTTTGGTTAAAATATTACAAAGTTTCTTCTTAATTTTTGCTCATCTTCTCATCCAGTGATTGAGGCTCTCTCACTGGCCTGTCTTAGCCATACCCTGGTTACCTGCTGTGCACCTTTTTCCATCCTGCACTCAGATGCAGCATTTATGCTGTTTCCATGTCTGAAACTGCTTTCATCACTGCTAGCACTGCTAATACATTTCTGGTAATTCACCTTCCTTCAATCTGATTTCTTGGAACTACGCTAAATAATTATTATCAGGGAGTAGTGCATAATAAAGATTAATTTTTTTTGAGTCTGTGTTGTTTTAGGACCATTCTTTCTGTTATTTCTGGCCAGAACAACTTGAGAAAACCAGGCACACCAGTATTTGCACAGGAAGACTCCAATAAAACCTGCACCTGTAGGATAGGGCATTTGGTCTGTTTACAGTAATTTCTCTAGTGTCATGTCTCATTCTTCAACAAAAGCCTCCAGGAATGGGTCTCCTGTCTCTTCTCTAGCATAATCTATACATTCACTTTTTCCAGGTAAGAAGCTTTATTGTCACATTGCTTTATTGCCATGCTCAAAGCAAGCAAACCAGGGCAGCTCTCTCCTCACAAATGTGCTGACACAGAGCGTGTTAGGCCAGGAGATGACAGGGGAAACACCATAAGGTGCCCATACTACTCTTGAAACTGCTTTCCAGCAAAGAATTCCACTTCAGTGCAAGTGCTAAAAGAGATGAGAAACTATTTTAATGAACCACAAGGTTATTTTCTAGTTTAATCACAAGGGCACACCGTCAAGAAAATTCAATTAAATGCTCTGTGAGAGATATAGCTGCCAGAAGTAGAATCAATATTTTAGGGGGCTGAAGTGACTGAAAGGAGATTTAAGAATGTTCAATTAAAGGAACATTAAAATCATAAACACAAGACAAAGGACCTATTTAGAACTATCTATATGGCAATGCAAAATTCAGCTGAAGATGTGGAAAACCAAAAATAATAAAAATTCCCTATTAAGAGATTACAGAACACAGTTTTAACAGCTGCCATAGCAGATCCTGCTAGAAAAATACACCAGAACTGCAGCATCACATTCCAGTAAAATATTGTCACTGATGACCCACGAGGAATTGTTTTTACCATGAAATGCCATCGTCTGCAGCAGGCGATCAGCCACCTCCTGGGGAAACATTCCTGGCTCCTGCAAGCATAGTGTTCCATCTTGCCTTTCTGTGCAGAACTTCTCTAGGTTGGCAGTCAGGAAATTCAAACAGATATCAAGTAGAGAATAAGGAGAAGCTTCTTCCTGCCATACCAAAACACAACGAGACAAAGGAGATTTAGTCAAGTCATTCTCTCTTGTCTGTGAATCTTGTATATGCTCTTTTTTGTTAGTCTGGCTAATATCACAAGAGGAGATGTCTCCCAGGAGAGCCACCCAAAGTCAGGATACACAATAAACTGATGGGAGCCTCCTTCTCCAGGCACCCTCAAAACCACCTCCAGTCAGCTCTGCAGTGTTTGTGTTCACAGAGACTGCTGAAAAATAATTTCAGTTTATGAAGTCTACTGGGAATTTATCAACCAAGACAGATGGAAAGAAGCTTTTTAAATCAAATTTTACTTCTGGATTTAAACTATTTCTTTAATCTTTCATTTAAGTCACCCATATTAGAAGTCTGCTACCAACCTACCTTAGAAATGCAGATAAATTTCATATATTGCAGACTAATATCATATATAAGAGCAATTTTTGATACTGAAAAGGGTAGCTAGAGCTTCAGATCATAAAGGAAACTAAACCAGAAGTATTTTAATTCCAGACCTCGTGCAGCAATAAATTAACAACTATTAGTGTTCCATCTGATTACAGATACCAATTTCCTCCTTTTTTATGCTATGCACCTGGAAATCATCTACAGTAGAATCCTGGGGACAAAGGACAAAGCAGAATATAAACTTGAACTTTTCCTTCAGAGTTTGAGATTGTACATTGACACATGAAAACCTCAAAGGATTTTTTTATTCCATGCCTAATAATAACCCACTGTTTTCAGGCACACAGATTAATCAACATAAAGAATGACTCGCAGCACTGTGAATCATCCCCAGCAGCACACAAAAGAAGGCCAAGTGACTGGTACATACTCCCCCAGACAATATTGAAAATAACAGCATCAATGGTTGCCACATCTCATCTGCAGGAAACACTGGAGCTTCCCTTTTATACTGAAAGTTCTGGATAATTTCACCTTTCTTTCCTAACTCAGTTAACTTCTGCTGCTTCATTTGCCTAATACACTCAGCACAGAAGCATATAAATATATAAAAGGTTATACAGAAAAAATATAAATAAGTTTACAGAGATAAGTCTTCTAAAATAAGGAGCACATGTTTGAAGACTGGGAGGTACCACAGCAGGGCAAAGTCAGAATGGAGCTTGTCTTTAATAAATCATGTATTGACAGCGACGAGATACTGCAGTTCAACAGCTCCTGAAGACTTAAGTACAGGCTTGGGAACTAAAAACTCCAAATTATTCAAACTCGGGTTCTTTGTGCAGCTTTTGACATGCAACTTTCAAATTAGCTCAGTTTTGCTGCGTGCTTTTTTCCCCCCTTTTCTTCTTTTTTAACCTTTATTATTACATTTTATTGTTGAAGAAACACGAGTTACTTTGTGATGCAACTTGCTCACATTACCAGAAAACAGCAATTCTGGCTGCCTCCAACCTGAAGCTGATAAGAAAAGCAAGGACAGAATTTGGAACTGTGAATGTCTTTTGTTTCCCTGCAATGTGCAAAATGCCTGAAGCACTTCTAAAGAGAACAAAACAACAAATTACTTTCAAATAGTGCATTTTTTACACCAAATGGGAAAACTTTCTTTTTAACTTGAAATCAATACATCCACCCAGGCCTTATATGACAGCTGAGGATTCAAATGAAAATCAGAATCCTTACTCAAAGGTGTATGAAAATCATTCCCACTGGGGCAAAACCATCCTCATCTCCCATTAGAGCTTGTGTTTCTAATTTGATGCTCAAACATGACAAAACCAGAATACTGACTCTGTTCCTTCTAGCACTGTTCCATCATTTCTCCCAGAAAAGCTAAACCACTTTTATAAACCAGTGAGCAAACTCCAATGAGAATTTTTAGCCTTGCAGATAGGCCACCAGCATATGACTCAGAACACTATTTTTTTTCAATCAGCACCTCTAAGTGGCCAATCTGTCACTTGGAAATACTGCTTTCATTTTTACATAATCACTTCAGAAGTTCATACAGGACATCTTCATACAATAAACGGAACAAAACCACAAGCAGGGAAACAACACAGGACCATTTTTATTAACTCCACTTATGCCAGTTATAGGAGATATTTGCAATGTTTCTTCAACTTGCTGCCAGGAGGCTGAAGAAACAGCCCAGCAAAGGCTCCTGAGGTGACCTGGGCAGACAGGTGAAATGTTTTCACCTATATCTAATAAAGCTCTTTGACAAGCAGCATAAAAACAGTTTCCTAGACTCTGCTACTGACAGCTTGGACACAGTCTGTAAAGCTTTTATGTGAGCTAGCAGCATTCCTATTCTCCACTTCTCTTTACTTACAGAGAATATTACCCAGTTAAAATTATATTTAAGCTCTTAGAAGGTCAGAATTCAAGTGGTTCCTCTCTCCAGCTCTGCTTTTGAATGTCAACTTGAAAACAAACCTGGCATTTGTTTTCAGCTCACTTCACTTTCTGGTTCCAATACTCTAATGAGACACTATAAATATGTGCCAACCATAGCACAGCACTTAAATTTTAAATTTAATAAAGATCATCCACCAATATTTGAGCAGAACTTTCATTATGATATTTTACTTTTTCCACAGCCATCTTAATTATCTGATCCTTCCATTAACCTCACAGTTCCTTTCAGTCTATCAAATTAATGAAGTAGCCAGGAAACAAATCTAAAAATAATTTCCTAAAACCCACAGAATTGTGCATCGCATGATGCAAGTCTGGGTGTCTTCATTAGCTAAAACACATTTTAGAAGAGTAATGTGACACATCTGAAACCAACTAACTTAATAATAAATTAGTTTTTAAAAAAAAAATAAACCCCCACACTTTTAAAGTGCTTAATATAACAAAGGCAAACAAAAAGTGTCCAGGGGAATGGGGAGGAGTAAAGTGCATGGCTCCTGGCCTCAGACAGTAATCCAATACAGTAGTGAACTGAAATGCAAAACCTACTTCAACAAGATGTTACCAGTTCAGCTTCTAGTTCACACCAGGGCAGCTGGAAAAGTTCTCACAAAGCACATCATCCTCCACAGTTTGTTTTCAAAACTCCTTGAAACAACTTTAAATACCACAGGGATATATTTAACACGTATTTCAAAATACAGTTAAAAAGAGAAACAGAGCTTAAGGGGACATATGAAAGTACCTGAAGTATGTTAGAGGATCTTAAGGCCAACATTATGCCTAGATTAACTGGCTGAGTGTGAGTATCAAAACAAAATCCTGTTCCTTTGGGGAAGCATCACCAGGCAAGCACCTGCTTACACAATACCTAAAAAAAAAAAAAAAAAAAAATAACAGATTTAACTGACCTTTTCCATCAGCAATTACAAGCTAAGTTTGCAGAAAAAGCAAATTCCACTGCTGCATGGGCCATTTTCACTCTAGGTGCTGTGATCCTACCAGCTCCAGCCTGAAAAGCTCAGTTCCTAGTAGCTTTGTGTCTCAGACTCATAAAAAAAACAAACCTTTTTTTCCGCAGTAGTGTTTTGCTTTGGTTGGTTCTTTTCCCCCACAATAAAGCAGTATTTAACACTGGAAGAGAAACAGCAATTTCAGCTCTAGCAGAACCATGTCTGTGATGTACTCCCCAATTTTTACACCCAACTGCAGACTCAGTATGGCAAACCCCAAATGTTTAGGGTCTGTATGTGCCAAGCCCACCTGCTTTTTTATCTCTGAAGTCTGAGGAGGAGATAGGCACAGGGTTAGGGAATTTTCAATTTGTGGCAGTTATTTCTCTCAAAATGTTATCAGGAAAATAAGAGGTAATTTAGAGCCTCAGTCTCCTCTGCTGTTGATGTCTGACATTTCTTACCGGTTTCCACCTCTCCACAGCCCCAAAACTTTACTTACTTTCTTAAAATAAACATTCTGAAAACAAGAAACAATAACTCAAACAACAGCCATCAAAGTTCTTCTTAGAGCTAATAAAGGAAAGGCAGTGGAAAAAGAAAAAAGCTTTAAATTTAAATGGAACACAGCAGATGTAGGCAATTTATTAACCAGACTCAAGGAAGGATTATGCTCAAAACTCGAATTTAACATTAACCATTCTGGCACAACACGTGGGAACACACTGATTAAGGCTGCTACCGATACAAAGTCAGCAGAGACCACGAGAGGTCTAAAATTAAACAGTGCCACATTAAAACAACATAGTAAGGCCATGTATTTCAAGATTCATATCAGCTTCAGATACTGGAGAGAAGAACCTGAATGGTTTGCTGAACCACAAGAAAACAAGGTGAAGCAGCAAAAGATGTTATCAGGACAGGCAACAAGAAAAAATAGGGAAGAATTAAGTAATGTTTAAGGCACCTGGAGATCTCACAGGGCTATTTATGTTGAGATATCTGCACTATTTCAGTTTAAACATAACAGCTACTAGAATGCTCTGGGGGAAAAGAACACGTTGGGAATAGGAAATAAACCCAGCTTTTCTTAGCTTAGCAGATCAAAAGGTGAGAGATACAAATGGTGCCTATAAATACAACACAGTACACACCAGAATAAAAACTACAGAAGGAAGCAAGACAGAAAGGTGAAGCACAGTGCCAGGACGGCAACAAAGGGGCACAGAAATGCCAAGAATCTGAATCTCTGCCACATATTTAGATGTCAGTACACAGCTCTCAGGCCTCAAACAATGAAGTTCTGCCCTGAATAGAACAGCAGGCACAAAAAGTACCTGCTTATAAAATAAACAACTTATCTAGGGCACTGAATGAAATTATGCTTTTTAATGACACGGGATGAGATTAAACAGCACAGGAAGCTCCTGCTAGTCCTTTCAAACCAAATATGCACACTCATGTCTCAAGCAGAGGAGCAACCCAAACAGCTCCATCTGTTCCGAGCCAAGGCCTGGGAAAGGCTGTTCCTCCGCCGC